CAGAGTTACGAGGGAAACCTGTTGCTGTCACACATTCTAAAGGAGCAAAGCCTCAAACCAAAAGAGAAGGGGTAGATAGAAATACTGAATTTAACTTATATAAGCAAAAACAAGCTAAGAAATTAGGCAAAGTGACAGGTATACCTGAAGAGGAAATTGTTTTTGATAGTAAAGTGGATAATGTTAGTGATGAAGATAGTGAATATGGATCTTTAAGTGAAATAGCCTCATGTTCATATGAAGCAAGAGCAAAAGGGATTAAAAATGGTATGTTTATGGGACCTGCCTTAAAATTGTGCCCTAATCTGAAAACTATACCATATGATTTTGAAGGGTACAAGGAAGTAGCATACACTTTGTACAACACAATAGCGCAATACACACTAGATATAGAGGCTGTATCTTGTGATGAAATGTATGTAGACTGTACTGAGTTGTTAAAAGATTTAAAAGTTAGTGTTCAAGATTTTGCATTAGCATTAAGAAAAGAAATAAAAGACAAAACTGGTTGTCCATCTTCAACAGGATTTGGCAGCAATCGATTGCAATCGAGACTTGCTACAAAACGCGCTAAACCGGATGGGCAGTTTTTTCTTACATCAGATTTAATTGAAGACTTCATGTTTGGTATTTCCTTGAAAGACTTGCCTGGTGTCGGTAGGCAGACATCCCAAAAGTTGGAGTCTTTAGGTCACCAAACTTGTGGATCCTTGCAAACTCTTACATTAGGCCTACTCCAGAGACATCTGGGTAATAAAACAGGGGCACAGCTTTTCGACCAATGTCGCGGACTTGATCCAAATCCTTTGACATTCCATACAGTTAGGAAATCTGTATCTGCAGAGGTAAATTATGGGATAAGATTTGATACAAATGATCAATGCTTCCAATTTTTAAAACAGTTATCTGCAGAAGTACATTCCAGAATGCAGCAATTTAAAGTTTTAGGTAAATGTATCACACTTAAATTAATGGTAAGAGCAGAAGAAGCACCTGTAGAGACTGCAAAATTTATGGGCCATGGATTTTGCAATGTCATTAATAAGTCCACCAATCTCACAAATGCCACTAATGATGTTGAAATAATAACAAAAGAAATTATTTCTCTGTGTAAAAAACAAAAAATAGATCCAAAAGAAATGAGAGGTATTGGAATTCAAATATCTAAATTAGAACAAGTAATTACAAAGCCAAACAATACTGGTATCAGTAAATTTTTGAGTAAAAATAAAAATGTACATAACAACAGGATTTCAAAAGTTGAAAATGATGCGGGGACACACTGTGATGTAAAAAATAAGAGTAAAGTTGAGGATAGAATGAAGAATCCTGTTACGCCGAAAAAGAAAAGTATATCCTCCACTATTAAATCTCCGAAACATGGTCTCAAATCCTCACCTGTAAAAAGGAGAGGTAGACCTCAAAAATCTTTAAAAAATAGCTTATCAACTACCAAAAGTCCTATGGATAAATTTCTCGCTGGAGAAATACAAGTAAAAGAAGAGTTACCAATTAAAACAATTCCAGAAATAAAAGATGAAAAGCCCAAAAACTCTGACTCAAACCAAGATGGATTATTGAGTCTTTCTTGGGAAAAAGTAAGAGAACTGTTAAGGGCATGGTTGGATAGTGGACAAGCACCAAAAATGTGTGACACTAAAATGATTGCTAGTTACTTGAGTAAATTAGTTGCTAAGAAAGATATTGACAAAGTTTATATACTGATGAACTTTTTAAAACGAAGGACACATGAAATAGATAAGGAAATTTGGATAGAGGTTTACAATTATGTTTTGGAAGATGTTCAAAATTCTATGATTGCTGTGTATGGAAAGAAACTGTGGATAAAAGACTAAAAGACAATAAAAAGAGACACAAATGTAATAAAAGACATAATAATTTTATTCACTCATTTATTCCAAAATTGTTTCTATTAAAGTTATGAACATATAATAATTAGGTACATTATAATTTATTATGCTTTTATTGGTGTTATTGCTTCTGGAACACTATATATATCTAAAAACTAGGTAATGTGTGATGGAATTCAGTTTTTACAGTATTAGAGGCGTATATAAAAATGAAGGGCAAAAATGACGACTAGTAAAGATGTTAAAAGATTAATGCAGTTTCTATATCTACCTTCTAGATAGAAAATAAATTTGTATGAACATTGTGATTCGAAAAGTGCTGACACAAGTTAAAAGTCGTAACAGTTCCTAGAAAATTGTGAAGCATTTACTTAGGGTATATTTAATATTTGAAAAAATGGCAGTTAGTATCACTTCTTTAATTCAAAAACACTAATATCTAAACGGTTAAAATTTAGAGTTCGCGTAATTTAAATGTATACTAGAAATATACGGCACATGTAAAAAAATAATTCCATTAATTAGCCACGGTAAGATCTCGGTTACAGCATTCCGCACGGCATCGCACTATAATTTATTATCACAGTTTTATAGCAAAATAAAATACACCTGCCCCATGACGTAAAAACAAAGTAAAATGAAAAAAATACAATATTCTCTGATCTATAAAACGAAGTCAGAATATAAAATAAAATGTACTTAAAACAAAGCTTTCAGCTTTTAACTTAAAAATAAATTGTTTTGTGACAACCATTTCAATATTAACTATTTTTTACGTTTGTGATAAAAAAAATACAGAAAACCAACATACAAACTTAACTAAATTAATTCTGCACGTAACTCATTTCGTTAGTAGATCAAAATATGTTAACTACAATCAGTTAAATGGGAACATAAGAAAACTTCGATAGTAAAAGTTTGCGTTTAGACACAAGTTTTAGAGTAATACTGTGTGATATATCTATGGGTAACTATGGTATTTATAGATATTCTATTATTTCTACTAACTTGTTGGCTTTAAAAAGGTATATAAGTTCTCATGCGGTGGAGTTGACGGAAATGGAGTGTTTGAACTTCGAGTCGATGATGATTTCATCACCGGAACGTATGTTGTATGAGTACAGCTGCTTCGTCGGGTACTTCATTTCTTCAGGACCCTGGAAAAACTCCACAAATAAATAATAGAGTTAGTTTCGTTTGAATATTTTTAGATTAATAACTAATATGTTAGTGAAAACTAAATCCATAACTAATCAATTTTTTTTGAGTAAAGTAGTACGAATATTGAATTTTTCAGTTTACAAAATCTCAACAAGTTCAATAAAGATATTCACCTGTGTATCTCTCAGCTCCTGGTCGACATAGAATAGTCTCATCTTAGAGGCAGGGAAGCCCGCGAGTCGTTCCAAACGAGTTTTCAAATCTGATACAGTTCTGAAAAAGGACGTTCGAAATTTAAACAATGTACTGAAATTATTACCTCAATTGGGCACAAATTGGAAGTAGCTTATCTTCTGATAACGGCGAATTAATGTCGCAAAACATGTAAATACTGCCGTATAATATTGCCGTCCCACATTCCCCTTGCAAAAAAGGAGACAGCATCACGTAATTTGAAATTGATACTTGTATCTGTGCAACTGTCAGTTTGCTAAAAATTAGAAAATGGAACGTCAGTTGGAATTAGCTCACCTGTAGACGTCGACGGTGCGCACCTCGCTGGTGTCGCCGCACGTGAAGGTGATCTGCACGCGCTTCTCCGGCCGCAGGTCCACCGACACCAGCGGGTCCAGCTTGCCGTGCACGCCCACCAGCTCCCAGTACCTGCACGATGAGTACAATAAGGAATATTCCACGCGCTTCCTTTACTGTCCCATTTAAATGTCGTTTACTCATTAGTTATGTCTTCCTTTTTAGGTTGTTCTTATTAAAACAACAATATAACAGTATCTAAAAACTAGATCTTGATCTACAAAAACATGTGCAAATTTCCAACGTTTTCACATAGTGTTATCGACATCTATTTGTATTTATGATCATAATTTCTAGGATATTAAGGTCAAAGCAATATTTACGCAAATTCCACGCCTACTGCGTTCGTCGATAAACCTTCACCCAACTTCCATATACAAATGTAAGCATTAAAATGTTCTAACATATATTTTTTAATAAGGACTAGAGACTAATAGGAAAAAATACCTTTCCAGCTTTTCCTTTCCTTAGTAGCGGTCGCTTGTTTGACACCTCATTCATATATAAATATCATATAGAAGACTACCTGTCAGGTCGGTCAGCCTCCGGTTTCTCCATATAGTATCTGATAAAGGCGCGCTCGGCCGCGTCGCGCTCCTCCGCGGGCACGGCGCCGCCGCCGTTGAGGGTACGCACGCGCGGCAGCCGCGCCACCAGCAGCAAGCGACGCTCGTGCTCCGTCGATTCGAAACGCTCCCATAAAGGCCACCCCTGAAAAACGAAATACATTGTTTTTAAAATAAACTGTGTAGCCCTGCGCAATATTGCCTTGTAATAAAAAAATAGTAGTTACTTTAAATCTATGATTAAATATGGATAGTTCAATAGGACTTCTAGGTGTAAATCATCTGTGTTTATACAGGGAAGCTTTAAAATATATTATCTTGAACATTGATTAATAATTAACTGATGAATGATGAAAGATCAGAAATTTTACACCGATTAATTGTAGCGGTTGCGGTCTTGTGGTTTTATCTATTGAAAATGATCATATTAAACCACGACGTGGAGACTGTCATACTGATAATTAAATTCATTAGTTTTAATTGTAGAAATTATTTAGTTTTGATACATCATGTCGTATTTGACCATCATTTGCCAACAACAGAATTATCAGGTAAATACAAAATATTCTTTAATCGTAAGCCTCTAACTTATCCGTACCAACTAGTTATTAAAAACCCAAAAACCAAAACACTAATCATTCTGATTTACATAGTCTTTGTTTAGAAAAACATATCCTTAAATAGTGAATCAATACCTATAAAACTCACGTCATCTGTTGAAGGTTAAAACATGTTGGTTTTATATACTTTTAATATTGAAGTAACTTCAAGTAAGTAATGTCCCTGACATTAAGGTAAAGGGAAAGAATGTAAATATATACAAGTTGTTTTATTTCTTTGATCTTAAAAGTTTTCACTACAAAATTTCGTTTATTATCGGTTTGCTTGCGTCTGGACTCTGGACGGAGTATTACGTTTTCGTGACTGCTTTTAGCAACAAATTGCTTATAAATAATATAATGAATAAGACGAGTAGTTATACGTCTCCCTTTGTTACTTAGTAACGTATTGACCGAGCATGTTTACAGCCTTGATAGGTTGTTTTGCCTAAACTTGGAAGGCGGAAGACGCTCACTGCGTATTGTAATCACCACTTATTGAATTGAAATTATATTCTCTTTTAAAATTACATATGTTAATTCAATCTACTTTTTGCTCATTGTTATTACAATTGGAGGCTTAAATAGTGGATAGCCTGTTTTGCAAACCGTATTTTTATACGGTTTGCAAAACAGATCATAGATTGGATTCCGCGATACGACTATCGTTGCGACTTTTAAGCACGAAAGCTTATTTTATTCGGAATGTTTTAACTGGATTTAAGTACTATTTGTAGCGCTGTAAAGAGAGGTTAGGATAGAGCTTTCTGTAGAGTGGTAGGTCCTTAAATTTATATTACTGTTACAATCTGAACAATATAACATGAACTGTTATAACGTGAAGCTAACGTTTAAGCAGCAGGATATAACATCGTGGGTCAATATTAAATTTTATTGTGGGGTCAGTTTATAAATTCGAATACGACATAGTCGTGCCACGCCGTAACGGCTTCGTTCCGAGACATTAATTATGATATCGAATCTAATTATTCGCATTCAACCATTTCCTTTGATAAAAAAAATACAATGATTGGCTTGTTTGATCAGCCATAATATCTAATATTAGTTTGTTTAACAAACAAATTTTGATATTTTATACTTCACTAGACGAAATCTGTATGCGTTGCCATGAAAAAATCAGAAACCATACGAGTATTGCCCAAAATTTTTATAATTAAAAAAGACAGTTGACCGATCGTACTCTCTACTATCTACTCTACTATCTACACGCAGGGTAGGTCCCGTGTTAGGATAATGTCTCAGTCAACCACGCTAGCCTAATTTAAGTTGGGCAGAGTGCATCACAATATTTTCCTTAATAATATTGAATGATATTACTTTTAGTTTAATGTTCACATCGCAGTCTGGGTTTATTAATTTAGTATAGAGTGCATTTTCCGTTAGTACACGAGCAAGGGAATGAACAAACATACGGAGGGGAGGTTTCTGGGTCAAGCCGCGACCCGCCGCCGTTCGCCGCCCGCGCCAATACAAATTACCGCTCTATTGAACCCGCTTTGTGTTACTTGTCATACTTTATACCTGCATTCAATTACTGAAATGTTTGTTTGCAAGAGTTGCTAATAAACAATTGTTACTCAGATGAGGGATAGCAGCTCGTTCAGAGAGGTAGAAGGAATAATTATGAACGATTTTGTCACTCTCAGGCATATCTTTCTCATAATAAACCAATACTTAGCATCCAAGTTTATTCATTATGGTTAGCGTGACGAAAAGCGTCGAACATCTAGGTATAAAGAAGAGAAAATGCAGTAAGTAGGTTAACAAACTAAATTATAATATCTAGCGTAGAGACAACAATATTTTTTCGAATAGTTTCCTATGTAGGATGTATATTTTCCGGATTGTATGCCGGTCATATCAATAACAGGTTTACGTCCCACAGGTTCAGAGAACAACAGATTTGACCCGTGCGAAACGTTAGACGCGTGGGTCGGTCTGCGACCGTTGGATTCAAATATGATTCATTCGCTTGCAAACCGTCAGGTTATTTTCCAATTTACCGAAGCCCGAGAAATCATAACGTTCGATTTGATGCAAACGTTATGCGTCATCAGATTAGTGAGGACACAAAGAAATAAGCGATTAGCGAATGCATATCCAATACACTTTGAAATGCGTAAAACACATCGTAATAAAAATTACAAATAAAGAATTCAGAAACGTATAAAGATACGTAAAATTAATTTATCAAGTAAATTTATGTCATACACACCTATAGGTATAGAATATATTGTATGTATGATGCAATATTCTGATAAATTATAATCGATAAGCTAAATTTATTCGAGTGATTGCCAGCGTGACTAAAATATCGATTTTGTTGAGTGCATGTTTATTATAGCAAAGACCAGCATCTTAGACATCGCAGAATACACATAACATTACAGTAGAACATCTTGTACATAGCCTTTTACGTCATTTGGTACAATTACAGTTTGAATTTTTACTAATTTCTTTCGATTTTAACATCATTAAATAATATAATTTGGTACAGAGAGTTCAATCTGAACAATGTGTAACTAAAGCCTTATTTCTGCAATATTGAACTTTAGAAAGTTCTCCGATCATGTTAAGTTCTATTTTAGTATAAACTTTCGTGATCGATGAGATCAGAAGGACGTCAAGTGCAAATAATGTGAACGAACTTTGCAAC